TGGGCTCTCTATTCCAGTCAAATCCGCTGACTTTTAAAATTCCAAACTTTAGGGGCACTTGGGTGGCTCAGTCAGTTGAGCGTCTGACTTTGGCTCAGGTCATGATCTCATGGTTCGTGAGTTTGAGCCCCACGTTGCGCTCTGTACTGACAGAGCTCTGAGTCTGCTTTGGATCCTGTCTCCCTCTCTCTGTCCCTCCCCCACTTGCACTCTGTCTCTGTCTCTCTCCCAAAAATAAAAATTTTAAATTCCAAACTTTAAGGACCTGGCATGACAGGGACCTGCACTGCTCTTCTGGGGAAGGGTCTTGCTGCCCTGGGACCGATGCAGGTTTGACCCAGAAGGGCAGTTTGACATCAGAGTGCAAGGGCATAGGATTTGGAGCAAAGCAGGTTAAACAGCCAGTGTCCAGGTTAGCTACCCTCAGCAAGTGTCTCTGAGCCTATGCCGAGGGGTGGGAGAGGGAAGTGGCACCCGCCGGGCTCTTCTGTTCCCAGAGGGGCAATGCCACCACTCACAGATGTGCTCCAAGAAGGGGGAACAGTCTCTCCTGTGAATCTTAGGTAATCCGCACACCATGCCATCTGCCCCCAAGTTACCTGCCTGCCTTCTCTCCAGGAGCAGGGCAGTGCTCTCTGGGCCCTATCCTAGCCACATCACGGACCTCTGAAACTCCAGGCTTTGAGTTGTTTGCAAAAACTCACGAAAATCAGCCTCTCATTTTCCCAACCAATGGCTCTGGGGAAGTGTTTTCCTTGTGGGATCCCCTGTGTACTTCTCTTCCCCTCTCTCTCTTTCTCACCTCTCTCCACGACCAAGGCTCCCTCCCCTCTGCAGCCGCCGCAATCCACTTCTCCCCATTTCTCCCACAAACCATGTCTCTGTACTTCCTACCTTCCTGGATGTGGCCTCTTCTCTCCCTTTAGTTATGCACTTTGTTCTATCAGCCCTCAGGTCGATTTCTTGGGTGTTCAGAATGATCTGATAGTATCTAGCTGTGTTTGAGGGATGAGATAAGCCTAGGGTCCTGCTACCACTACAGCATCTTAGCTTGCCCCCGCCCCTTCTATCTGTTCTGTATTTGTTGGGGGAAAAAAAACACCCATGTATGTGTAAGGGGACCTGTGCAGTTCAAACTGCAGTTGTTCAAAGGTCAACCGTTTGTACAAATATCAAATCATTATATTGTGTACTTAAACTAATATAACATTATATGCCGATTACAACTCAATAGAAAAAAAGACTATTGTTTCCTCCCAGTGAATTATCTAGGCATCTTTTAATTACCTTTGATTACCTGGTAATCTCTAGAGTTATGTCTACCTTTTCATTCATAAAAGTGTTATAGGTTGCTTTTACTTGGAAATGTTTAACTTTCTTTAAAATCGGTGACATTACTGGATATATCACATTTCAGATAAAATAAATGAACAAACACCAAAAGGACACGAACATCTGCTGTTTTCCCAGCAGAGGTTATAGGTTGGTGTTCAGTGGTTGGCATGTCCCCACCGAGACAACGGCATGGATTTGTAAGATAGCTCTTGAACAGCTGGCCTGAGGTTACTGAAAAGAGCGGGTTGCTAGGGAGAACTCGGGACCCTGGTTTCACTGACCCCACATTTCAACTAACTACACTATGTAGTTTTTCTTAAGAACTGAAAACATTTTCTAGAGACAACCCATGAATTCTGCAATAAAATTTAAGGTTTTTTCAATTTTCAAGTGTAGTGCTACTTATTTACAAGCATTCTGACTCATTTATCCTGGAAGAGATCCGTACTAAAAAGAAAAACATCCTAGTAGAGGGGGAAGAGTTTAGCCAGTGAAAAGAAGCTTTGCCAAGACACCACCAGTCTTGCAGTCACAGAAAATGATAACAAAAGATGCTTCCATGAATGAATTGGGTTTACTGAATTAGGTCAGCACAGGGTGGTAAAAATATACCACAACTGGAAAGACAAAAACAAGGGAACTGATACCCAGTGCTGTAAAGAAAATAAGCAGGAAGCCGCCCTCCTAGTTGCCTTTCAGTGGCACAGGCCTGCGGGCTCTTGCCTCACGGAACGTGTTGTCAGACGTGGATTAACTATGTCTCGGCACCAGCCTGGTCAGACCTCAGCCCGAGGCAGCTTTCATCACAGTGGCCAGTACCTGTGCGGGACACGGCCACGCCTGGTGACTGATCTTACACAATAATGCACACACTGTTCCAGACTCACTTTTGAAATAAAGGACTCGTAATCATTTCCTGAAAAAGAAGTTGTTAAAGCATCACTTAGCTTTTGCCGAATGTCTGATGCCTTTGTGACAGTACAAGTCACGCTGGGCGACGTGGATCACCTGTCATTTCCTCTAAAAAGCATTCTTTTTTTCTGAGCAGATTTCAAGGATCCTCCTCTTCCCAGCCACGAAACTGTCCTCCCTCCCACCAGGTTCTGTTTCAGGTGCAGCCAGCCACTACTTCCTCAATCAGTGATTCATCATCACCAGTGCACGGTGTTTCTCTGCTCAGATAACTTCTGATGCCAACACAATTCAAAGAAGCGAAACCTTTCCAGATGTAAGTGCTTACTGCTGACAACTGCTTAGCGGGTTCTGAGGTTTGAGGGATCAGAGTTCCAGACAGCAAAATTATATATAAATCTAGATCATATCATAGATATAGTGATTACTTTTGAACATGGCAGGGGCAGGCATTTGTGAGATTCCAGGAGGTTCCAGTGTTCTATGGTCCATAGAAGTTCATTCACCTCCAGGTCTGAATTCATTCTCCCTTTCCTGTGTCTAAAATGCTTTTTTATGCCAAATTCTCAATAAAGAGAAAAGCTGAGGGATATGGTGACGGTGGAAACCACACAGCTGCTATATGGAGATGACAGAAGGTTTCGTCCCGGGAGAGGCTGCTTTCGGGAGAAAACAGTGTGGTGACAGCAAGGCTTGGCTGGTGGGGCTAGACTCTCTGATGGTAATGGAGTCTGAGCTCTTCTGGATATACTATGAATACATGCATTTCTGCTAAAAGAGAAAAAAGTTTCTTGTCTGAGAAGAAGATAGTGTGACAGAGTGTTCTGGATTCAAAACTGGGTTCAAATTCTGCTTTGCCACCCATGTACTTCCTGGGCAACTTGCTCAACCTCCCTGACCTGAGTTTTTTCTTCTATTAACTGAGAACAGCATCTGCTCAATGGGGTTCCTGGGAAGACTGACAGAGAACACATGGAAAAGACAAGCACTTAGTTGGACTTTGTCCTAGCTCCTCTTCAGGTCTTTCTCAGAGTAATGCTTTAGAGAACTGTAGTCATCCAAAGTCTGAAGACACATCCAATTCAGTCACTGGGCCTAAGGAAAAGAGTTCACGCTTTGGTGGATGGGAGAATTATAGCATTCCAGAGACCCTTATATGGGTGAATTCAGAGAAGTCTCCACCTTACAGAAAGCCATCAAGACTTGCTGCCTCAAGGCCCGAAGCTAGTCTTTGGTGATGACATTATGGCTACTATTTACGGGCAGGTATGTTCTGTGGTCAGGGGTTACGAAGTAGTAGTACCTCATAATACGACAGGCACCAGAACAGTATGTGGGGAAAACGATCATCAACAGTGTTGTAAGTGCTTTCTACGGTTAATCTTATTTAATCCCCCTAGTGATTCTCTAAGCAGGTACCATGTGAGTCCCTATGTTACAGATGAGAAGACTGAGAGGCACAGAGAATGAAGGATCTCCTACTAAGAAATAATGGAGTGAGACCCGTGTGGTCTGACTCCAGAGCTCATGCTCTTGACCACAATGTCTCCCCTCTAGGTAACATGAACTTCTCATGGTCATGGAGATTTCCCCAGCTGTGGCTCTATTTCAGAATGGCTGGTCAGTCACCAGAGGGCAGGATATACCTCTTCCTTTCTTCACTCCATGGAGGTGTACAGGGAATTCATAAGGCCTTTTCAGAGTCAGTCAAAATTATTACATTTACTCTACCAAATAAATAAACTCACACAAAAAAGAATGTTCTATTTTACCTAGTGGTAGATTTGTCTTCTGTGATGACAACTTACAAAGACCCTTAGCTGTAACAGTAACCGCTAATAGTATCTTTGTTCCTTGCAATTTTCTGTCATTTCACTTCACTGGTGTATCTTTCAAACTTGGGGGTCTCGCAACTTATTTAAGCGATAGATGGGGGAAAAGAGGGTGAGAATCCACTTCCTGAGCAATGTACAGAAAGGCAGTCACAGGGAAACCATCCCTGGAGTGGTAAAACAGTCTGAGAAAGCCCTCATGGAGAAAGGTCCCCTGAGGACTTGGTTCCAAAGCCACAATTTCCGGTCAAATCCCAGGGATGGGACTTGTGTCCTTAAGCAACCGAGAAGAGGAGCTCCATGTGGCCCATCAGCACAGGGGGGAGGTGGGAGAGCCAGATCTGTACCATAAGCCAGAAGAATCTATGGAGCAGGTTTAAAAATAGCACAGCTCAGCAGGGAGTCCCTGGAGCACCTGTTTTCCTCAGAGCAGAGACAAATTTGTATGAGAAAGGAAGAGCTGAGGGGTGACAACAGGTGGCCACGCTAATTGAAACCTGACAGGAGAGAGTGTTAAAAACTCAGCTTGACAAGCAGGTTGTGAGAATGGCTCACAAGAGCTCCCTTGGAGAGAACTATGAAGATTACAACACACAGCAAGTACCTTTCAAAGGGAGCACAAAAGTGATATGCCTTAAGCACTTCAGAGGATCCAAATTTAACATGTAATCACAACAACGAATGGTAAAAAAATGATTTCACAGATTTAATTAAAGCCTAAAACTTGGCGAGTTTTCACAACAGCAGAATAGTTGAATAAAGAAGTAAGAGCTTTCTCTTTTCATCAAGTGATATACTCGGGGGGAACGAAAAGCAGGATTCTATTTCATTTATTTTTACTCTACCGGTTTCTGGAAAGAGTTTCCATCTCTGTGTTCTGTTTCCAGCAATGTCTCACTGGGAGCGGCTCTGCCCACTCACCTGAGCCCCTCGGTCGTTGACCAGTTCCACGGACCACCTCCCTTCGTACTGAATCCACACAAATATCCCTCCATCTGCGTCACACGTGGCCAGCTTCTGGTACGGCTCATTCCACCTCACCAGCACAACCTAGAAAACAGCCAAGAAGATATTTACCACAGGGATTAAAGCAGAGGGCCAGGAGTATGTCTCCAAAGAGATGAGATTTCAGAACTAAAGAGGAGGCACAGTCAAGGGGAATGAATGGCTGAGGGCAGGTGTGGGGATTAGGAGAGGGGATAGGGCATGGCCCACAGGTGGCAGAGACTCAGGGAATGGGACTCCCATGACGAGGCTTCCTGAAAAATAGCCCTGAGCAAACCATAAACCGTGACACAAAAATGCCCGTTGCTAGAAAAGCAGAGGATCCAGAGCCCATCTGGACTCAGTCCTGCCTCTCACAAGTACAAGAATAGTTCAGTATCTAAATAATTTAGAAAAAATCATTGAAACGTCTAAGCTACTTAGTACTTTATCAGAGAGGAAATATGAAATTACAAGCCTCAACATTTGTGAGTATGACAAATTAATTTTTTAGTTTAAAAATTCTGAACCTGGACAAATCACCCATCTTTCTGGACTATCACTCCCTCACCCAAAAGGTGGACCCTCTGGGAGGTGGTCTGTGGGATTAGGTAAATGCCCAAGGAGACTGAGGACAGGACCCAAAGAGCCCAATAAAACCTGTAAGGACACAGGCCTATGAAGCGGTCCTGGGTGCCCATGAGCCACAAAACCAATACCATGCCTTCACTGTGGTAAACTCTGAGTGTCGCCTGACTGGTCCATGCTGGTGATCGTGAGGAATTCATTCCATTGGTCAGACATGTGGTTGGTATTTATTAGGTTCAGGCTGTGTGACACTATACGATCAATGCCAAGATGGAGAAGACCGGACCCCATGCTCAGGAAGCTAAAAATCCATCTGGGGGTCAGCACATCCACGGATGCACAGACATACACGGATCTGTGACAGTCAAATGAGCACTGTCATTAACCACCCAACGCGCAGCTGCTGTTCGTAAGAAAGATCTGAATCCCCTGTCTCCCCCCAGGACTTCACACCCAGTAAACGAATTCTCCAAATTCTAAAATAGCAAGCAAGGTGTGGGGGGGGGGGGGTGCGCCTGGGTGGCTCAGTCAGTTAAGTGTCTGGCTCTTGATTTCAGCTCAGGTCACGATCCCATGGTTTGTGGGATCGAGCTGCGCTGTCAGCACACAGCCTGCTTGGGATTCTCTCTGCCCCTTCCCCACTCGTGCTCTCTCTCAAAATAAACACACATTTAGAAAACAGTAATAAAATAAAAAAAAATAGCAAGCAAGGCCAAGGACAGACTGTCAAGGACCTCTGCAATGTCCAGACCCCTTCTCACACCCACCTGTGTCCAAACACAAACGTCCTGTCCCTTCTCAAACCTGTGCCAAGGGCACGCCTGATTTCAAGTCCTTAATTTGGTTTTCAGGTATCAGAGAGTTGGAGGGCCCCCCAGCCCTGGTCTGCCACAGTTGGTGGCATCAGCACTTGTTGTGAGATGCATAATAAAATCCAAGAAGAAATTACTGCCCACCTAAAATGTGAAGACACTGTAGCTCTCTTTTAAAACTGCAAAAAATTAAAGACAGCTGTGAGGCTGCACTCCTTGGAAGCCTGGCAACCACCCGGCAGATCTTACCTCGTTGATGGTTCCCACGCCAGAGTCTGCTTTCACGGATGCTGACGCCACCCACACCCACGGCACGCCGTCCTGCTTTCTCTTTGCTGGACCGGCTGCCCCACTCTGCTCACACTCTGCAAGTGCAGCACGTGCACCATCCACCATAACTACCGGTCCACGTGCACGCCTCCCCACTGAGCTGTGCACCCTCGGAAGGGGGACAGGGGCAGGCTCACCTTTGAATACTGACACACTACAGTAATTCTGAGTGTATTGTGCCAAAGAGTACTATGTAATTAGAAGTTATGATCCATATCTTTGAACTATAAAAAGGTTATTGAAAACTATGTCCAGAAGGTTCTTTTCAATGCCCAAAGGCACTTTAACAACAGCCAACTCTGCCTGCCTGCTTACTATGAACTGCAGTTGCTGAGGATGGAGATTAAGACATCTTTGTGCTCGTGGAGTTCAGTTCACTAAACAGAGCACAGCGCTGCTCTATGTGCACTTAGAGAGTCGTGAACATACACAGGAGGGGAACTCAACACAGGTGGAGGGGGGAAACAAACCCAGATTCATTTTTTAAAGTCCAGTTTTAAAAACTCCCTATGTAAGAGTCTCTTACGGTTTGCCTCCCTCTCTGTTTTTACCTTATGTTTCCTTCCCTTCCCCTATGTTCATCTGTTAAGTTTCTCAAATTCCACGTATGAGTGAAGTCTTCAATACAGAGAACAAACAGAGGGTTCATGGGAGTGGAGGGGGCGTTAAATGGGTCACGGGCATTAAGGAGGGCACTCTTTAGGATGAGCACTGGGTGCTCATATATAAGAGATGAATCACTGGGTTCTACTCCTGAAGCCAAGACTGTACTGTATGTTAACTAACTTGAGAATAAAAAAATAAAAAATAAATATCAAAGAAGATTAAAAAAAATACTGATCTAATTAAAAAAAAAACCAGTACCATCAACAACCGAAGTCTTTTAATGTGTCATAAAATTTAGAATTTCTAGTCAATAAAGGCCAACTTCATAAACCTCTTTCAGATCCAGTGATTTGGCCCAAGCACTGCAATCCACTAACGTGCGTGCAGCTACATTTTGGTCCCTTTATAAGACACACATTCGGGGCGCCTGGGTGGCGCAGTCGGTTAAGCGGCCGACTTCAGCCAGGTCACGATCTCGCGGTCCGTGAGTTTGAGCCCCGCGTCGGGCTCTGGGCTGATGGCTCAGAGCCTGGAGCCTGTTTCTGATTCTGTGTCTCCCTCTCTCTCTGCCCCTCCCCCGTTCATGCTCTGTCTCTCTCTGTCCCAAAAATAAATAAATAAACGTTGAAAAAAAAAATTAAAAAAAAAAAAAAATAAGACACACATTCATCATTCAAGTCCACAATCACTGATGTACTTCAGAATGGCCACCACGGGATGGAATATGACAACTAAATACATGATATTCACAACTGACCAGTTTTTAAATGATTTCCTTAAGTTAACACAGAGACCATTCATCTGCTATGATCTTCCCTGTAAATAACATTTGACAAGGTGTCGTATTTGAGAAAATAAAGCTTAATAACATTTTCTGTACTTCTGCCTTTCTTCCTTTAACATCCATTGCCAGGCATGGTTGCATATTAAGTTAACCTCAATAATAAAAACCCTCTTCTTCACGAAAAGAGCCCGCAGACTCATAGCATGAAACAGACACAAAAGAGCAAAGGCAAAAAAGTTATTTTTCACTCTAAAGATTTCTTGGTCTTCTGACAACGCAGTAGTTGTTGAATAAACAAAAGGCTCACAGGCTTCATGTTTTTGTAATTCTTGATCAGCGCAGATGCAGCAGTAAACAGAAATGTAGTCCCATTCCCACACCTTTGCTGTGAGTTCTAACCAGTGTAACGGAATAGGCAGGTAGCTGCCCTAATTTAGAGAAAGAAATCTTTCCAATGATTCTTCATTTAAAAATAAAGTCAAACTGTTAATGTTGTTTCCGTGGATTAGAATTCTCATTTCCTCTCTCATCTACAATTCATAGCTGCCCGCCTTATCTCCCAGCAGCTTATTTCCTGTTCTCCAAATCCCTCCAATCTAGCTGGCAATGTCAGGACATCCCAGAGCGCCGAGAAACTACCAATGGGGAGCCCATCGCCCATATGCCCACATCATGTGGCAGGGTGCTCCACCTCCTACCAGGCACTCTAAGGCAGAGCTCCCCTTCCTGTTCAAAGGAAACAGGGCTCCTGTTTAGTCTGCGCACAAAAGAACTTGGGCTGTCAGGGTGCTGTGTTCTACTAAAAAGTCCGAAGATAAGCTAAGTATTGATGCAGGTCTTTAATTACTCAAAAAAATGCCAGCCTGTCACTCTCTCCAATGTTAGATGAACACTTTATCATTTTATAGTTATTGCTAATAGACATTTATTGAGGACTATTAAAAGTAGACACATGTACATTTAAAATATAGGGCGGGTCTGCTGAAAGTCTATTTGGGATATAATCTAGTGCTCTAAATAAGTCACTTCATTTCCTACACCCTATTTTTAGGGAGAACAAACAAATGTCAGTTAACCCATCTCAAGGATGTTCATCTTTTCAGACAGAAACCCTTTAAATGGTATTGGGAGGGGGCGCCTGGATGGCTCAGTCGGTTGAGCGTCCGACTTCGGCTCAGGTCATGATCTCGTGGTCCGTGAGTTCGAGCCCCGCGTCGGGCCCTGTGCTGACAGCTCAGAGCCTGGAGCCTGTTTCGGATTCTGTGTCTCCCTCTTTCTCTAACTCTCCCCTGTTCATGCTCTCTGTCTCAAAAATATATACAATGTTAAAAAAAATTTTTTTTAATTAAAAAAAATAAAAAAAAATAAATGGTGTTGGGAGATACAAATAAAATTATATTTTATAGAAATATGTAGGAAACCACCTCAGTGAACGACCAGTATCACCAAAGTTCAGTAATATTTCTCTGAACCGAAAAAGAATGTAATTGGAATGAATGCTAAATACAAATAGCTCAATAAACCCCTATGATTATTACCATACAGGTTTAAAAAAAAATTCTGTCAGTAAGTGAAAGAGCAATAAGTTTAATTGTGCCAATTTAGGTTTAGACACATTTAGTACAACAAAATGAGTTTAAGAAATGCTATGAATTTGTTACATTTCGTCACTCTAAGAAAGAGCCAAAAGCATCTTGAAATAGAAGCACAGCGGCTTTCCAGACTGACGCCCACCAGCACAGAGGTCCTTGAAGTGCTGTGGCAGGAGTGCAGGCTCAGGACCGGAGTCCTGGCCCTGCCACTCACCACGGCAACTTGCTGACCCACTGTACAGGGGCGGGGAAGGGGGGTCCTCTTGTGCACTTGGGGTAACAGCAGCACATCCTTCTGAAGTGTGTGAGGAGTAGTGGAGAAAGGACCTTAGCACGGTGCCAGGCACACAGCCA